CAAAGGCAGAAATATCATATGTATATAGTAATATATATGTTATATAGTACTCATATTATGATGCTGTTCACAGTGGGTTTGGCAGGTGAGGTTTGTATTTGCTCATATTTGTTGAGCTGCTGAAAAGTTGCATTTGACGTGACCTCCCAGTTCATTCACATCACAGCCCACTTTAACTTCAAAACCTTGTTACGGGTCATCCTATTGATGAATGTATGCACCATATTTTCAATTACCATCAATACATACTGATGGATTGTGAATAAATGAATGAATTTTGGAGAGAGGACTCTAACACAAGAAAATCTAAAAACAAACAAGAAAAATTTGAGCAAGCAGTATACAATTATCAGGTTAATGGCAGGTCAAACAACACAGAACAAGAACGACACAGCAACAGGCAAAGACGAGGAATCCCAGGGAAGCCTACTTTAATGGTCCGGGTGAGTGGCATTATTTTTCCGGCAGTTTCGTGTCTCCTCCCATGGGCGGAGTTGACCTAATTTCCTCTCTGGAATCGCACCTGGAGCTCATTGTCATGGCAGTATATAAGGCCAGCACTGACTACTACTCTTTGCCAGATTGTCTGGGACCCTGTGTTAGTTCTTGGCTCATTCAAGTCTTGGATTAAGTTTTGTACTATTTCTGACCATGTGCTTTCCCTTCCCTCCCTGGTCACGCCTCCAACTGAAAACAAGTATGCAGCTAAAAGAAACACACACTGGCAACAACTTGTTGCCAGTGAAACATCCACTTGACATCGGAGTAACATCTCTTTTTCCTCTGTTACAGAGTTCTGACCTCTGGCCTATAACCCACCTAATCATGTCAGCCCTATGAATTACTTCCTGGAACCCTGGAATAATCATGTGCACTGCACTCAAGTTCATGTAACCTGTGTTCATTAGCCACTGATCCCAGCTCTCGTTCATGTTTATGGTCTGCTATGTTTAGTTTTCCACGTTTGTAAATCGTATTGCCTCACTGTTGTGTATAGTCCCCTCACTAAATCCCCTGTAAATAGCTTCCTGTGCATCCTCCCGTCATGGTAAATAGTCACACTTCGAGTACCTGTGTGTTGAATCTGTGCCTTGAGTCCACTCTGCCTGACGGCCTCCAGCCGTGACACCTAGGCAATTCTGAAGAGAGGAAAGAATCTCAAAAGTTCAAAAGGGGGCTAACAAGAAAATATATTACCAGGAAACATGACAGATAGAAATTGTTAAGTTAGAATGGGCAGATTAACCACCCTTTAATTTTTAATTTGTCACGTCTTCAACCTTTTCATTTAAATTTTACTGATGTACCTGGAGAAGTGTGAGACATGTTTATGTACTGGCATCACCTTTATGCAATGAGATGACAGGAAAAGTGATGTAACTACCATCACAGAAGACAGATGCATCTATAGGCGTTGGGATCCCTGGCCACTGCTCCCCAATCTAGTATAAGCAGTTGCACACTGCTGAGATCTTACATAGATGGGTGTTCCTGATAGTAGGTAGATGAAAGAGCAATCAGATATAAGAGATCCAGTCTGTCCTCTTCTGTTAAAACCAGCAAAAATATGTTAAAGAGTAATAATAAAACAACAACAAGCTGCAGCCGACATAAAATGGAAAAGACTGCTTATACCTTCATATGGGTTTGGGAGAATATATTTACTTTTACCTAAAGATTGTGTCCAAAGATGTTTTACACAAGGTTTATGTAAAGCGGCCTACTTGGGTTTGAAGCACAGTTCGTCAGTTCTAAATAGGAACTTGAATTAGAAGTTTAGTTCCCCGCTTGGACTTTGGTCATTATTTTCACGTTGTAGAATATAACAAGGTTGGTGATAAGTGGGTAAGGTGGTCAGTGAAGACGTGGTTGCATTAGTAAATGGGTCAAACAGAGAGCTCTCTAAACAGGATTGTGACCCATTTATCTATTTTAAACCTTCAGATTAAGAACATTGTGATGGAAATGAAAAAACACTAGCAGGTATGGATTAATTCAAATACATTTCATCTATGTAGCGGTGCACTGACAGCAGCCATCATTCCGCAGTTTTAAAATTTTCTTTACAGAATTTTGTATGGCTATGTGTGAGTGCTGTTATTATTTCACACATAGAAACAGAACATCATTGCGTGAGAACCAGTCTAAACCAGACAGGCTTCCTGCTTACGCTTTGATGTAATACAAAATTACACATCTCTAGTACAAGTGGTTGCAGAATCAACTGTTGTCACCAATTTGACTATTTGTCATCAAAAGGGTGCTTTAAGTAAAGTAGTCATGTAGTTTATCACACTTCCCATGGAAATGTTGTCATCCATAAACAAGAAAATACTGACATTAATCTCTGCTTTTCTAAAATCACTATTATATTTTATTATTATATGTGATAATGTAGGTACAACGAGGAACAAAGGTTGATGGAGGGATCACCAATGTCTGTTGAGGAGCAGTGGCCAGAGATCCCAACGCCTATAGATGCTGCTGTCTTCTATGATGGTACTTACATCACTTTTCTTTTACAGCCCTTTAAAATGTCAATTTCTCATAAAAAGAAATTCAATCCAACAAAATTTACAGTACATTTACACTAACACTTGATATTTTTCTGCTCCTTTGCTGTTTGACTCTCAGATTAATAGAATATCTTCACTAACTGTGATTGGAAAATACTTGCATATAGACATAGAGTAAAAAAAAAGATGTAAGGTATAAAGGTTTATAACCAAGGCAGTACTATCCAAGGTACTTAAACCTTTTCATTATGAATACTTTTGAATGCACTGTACACAGACAGTCCTTGCCCCATACAGCAAACACAGTTTGCCACAATACATTTTAAGTTTCAAATTCTAAATGAATATTGATTTCCCCACAGGATCTGTGCACTTCTTCAAGGGAAACTTGGACTACAAATACGACTCCAACTTCAAACGTGTGCACTCCATCAGTCGTGTTAATGAGCTGCTGGAATGTGAAGTGAAGGAAGGCAATGAAACAGTGACAGAGAGGAGATAAGTGAAGTAATGCTTTCCCTGGAGCTTGACGGTGCTGTGCATGCATACACAAACTTTTACGTCCAGTAATAACCACAATGTATCGAACAGAAAATAGAGAAGTGGTTAGTGTGTGGTTAGTCTTACCTCAGTGTGTAATACAGTGATGTAATATTGGAATTTGTACAGTTTTCATGATTTGAAATGTGTGTTTTAATCTAATTTTGCTGCTAATTTTAATTTTAAATCTCTCTATACAAACATCAACATGTGATATAGAGCTATTCAGCCAAATGTAACATTTATTTTAAGCTCGTGTCGTTCCATCAGAGGGATTTATTTTTTACTTAGCAAAGAAAA